ATGTTTCGTGAACCTTGCAGTTCAACTTCATCAGGACGAGGAGCAATCTGATATTGAGCTATTCCTCCATATCGTTCCTTTTTATATTATGCTTCTTGTTGAGAAGAAAGAAGAGAATTGTGAGTGGGGAGAGGGGGAGAGAGTAAATCAGTCTCCAATAAAAATGGGAGAATGATTTTCTATATTTTATTTATGTTGTAGCCTTATCTCTATTGTTATCTCTATTTAGATTGTTAGAGTATCTCTATGGCTTTTTGTATTTCTATGGCTTCTTTATACTCTAAAGTATGATATAATGTTGGCTATTGTAATCGTTTTTTGTCAAACAGTATTTGATGTTCTGTTTCGATGTGGTGTTCTGATAATACTGCGTGACGTATTTTAGTCTGATAAAAAAGACAACCAAAATAATCAATAAATACGCAAACAAGATAACGATCTCTGACACACAATCAGACGAAAGGATCCTATCCATTCTCCCATCCATACATCAAAGAAACAATAGATCCGATTAGCAGGATATTAAACAAACACAATATCCGAACTATCTTTAAATCATCCAAAAAGATACGATCTTAAGAAATCCTAAATCTTAAGAAATCCTAAAGATCAAAGACCTCCACTCAGCTCCGCAGGAGTATACAAAATACTTTATTCTTGCAAATATACATTGTAAATATACATTGGAGAAACTGGAAGAATGGTCAACCTACGGATAAAAGAACGTAATGTCAGACTAAAACACGCAATCAGCATTATCAGAACACCACATCGAAACAGGATATCAAATACTGTTTGACAAAACGACCACAATAGCCAACATTACATCATACTTTCCAAGAAAGTATAGAGAAGCCATAGAGATACAAAAACACTCTAACAATTTAAAAATAATGGCTACAACTTAAATAAAATATGGAAAACTATTCTCCCGATTATTAAAGACCGATTTTACCCATTTTTCCTCCTTCCCTTCCCTAACCAACAATTCTCTTCTTTCTCCCCAACATTTAAACAAATAGTGTAACATAAAAAGGAACAATACGGAGGAACAGCTTAGTATCAGGCTGATACCTCCTCGCCCTGATGAAGTGGACTGCAAAGTTCGCGAAACGTTGGCATTCCAAGAATGGATCTGGATATGGAGGAAATCCATGCATAAAAGTTTAAAAGAATTTTGGTAAAAGGAATGTGAAGTGCACCTAAATATCTAATTTAAATGACCTCACCGAGTTTTAATGCCCTGTAGGGAAGAGTGTACCCACAAGAAGATTAAATGGGGGATGGCATTGGTTTAGGATGATGTATAGTATTATAAATTAAAGTTCTATAATATGTAGAGAATATTGATATGAGTATACTTTCATCCCACTTCCTCTCCTGCTTCGGGGTATATAATTTTCACAAGCAACTCCCACCTCACCTCCTCCTGCGAGGCGCACGACTTTCCGAATTTTACCATATTTCTATGGAAAGTGCAGAAACAGAAGGGTAGGGTGATAATCACTTCGCGTAGAAGTTGTGCATCCCCAGCAAACGAAAAGGTGAGGAGCCGCTTCATGTGGAAAGTCATACATTATGACTTCATTATAAAATTTTAATTTATTATTTTCTATATCAATGCCATCTCCTATTTAATTCTTGTAAGGAATCATTCAGGACATTCTCTCCCAGAACATATTTAAAAGATTTTGAAATCGGTGAGGTATTACCTAAACTAGATATTTTATGAATGTAGTATTTAAAAAAATAATAACAATAAATATTTCACGGAAATCCTGAAATTTCTGGGTACAATCTATCGCATGCTCATTTTTCGTGCACGTTGACTTTGTTTGTATTTTAGAAACATGAAATAAAATTTTTTAATTGCAATACTCGTATACTTTGCATTTTATTATTGATTTCTTGGAGCATGTCATATTAGGAGCACAATTTTTTGACTTCGATTTGGTCATTCTTTACATTTCTTTATTTAAAAAAAAAATGAAATTTGAATTTCATGTAATGTTATCTTAAACCTTATTAAATTCCCTTCAAAATAACTTATTATTTTTTAAAATTCTGCCTATAGAGTTCTAGCATTTACCCAAAATGAATCATAACAGAGATCTTTCTTCAATATATATACATTCTCATTTTATAAATCTTTTCCGTGAAATATTTATTGTTATTTTTTTTTAAATATATTATGTAATATACACACGCGCACTAACATATTCCTTACTATATAAATATGTTATTGTTAAAGTTCAAAACGTAGTAATTAAAAATCATAATATTAGAGTGAGGAATAAATATAGTACGTGTTTGTGCTAATATGAGTTAATCAAGTTTTATATTTACATATGAATAACAACCACAATTTCACCGATGTTAATCATCGTTAACTTTTAAATTAAACCTACTAATTGATTAAATATGCTTTATTTGTTGATAATATATTGAATAATTCAGTGCTATAATTCGGAAAGAGATAGAGAGAGTCTAAATTGCGATTAAAATCATGTACGATATAAAATTATCGGAATTTCGTACAACAAGTTTACATTTTCCAATTAAGATCTTTTAATATTAAAAATATACATATTTTGATATTTCATCAAATATAGAAATACAAATACAGGTTTTATTTAATTTTCTAACTTACCTCTTTTCTGTCGAAAAACTCATTAACATCTTCATTGATATTATTCATCTCGTAGAAACCAACAATACAATTTCAAGCTATCTCAATATATAGAAGTTAAAACTTATTAAATAGTAATATATATTGTTGATATAAACATGTGTAATTATTAATTTCACTTTACATTATTATCATCATGTTTTTAATGCAAACGTTACCAAAAATATCACTATGAAAGCGATGATATCGCAATATATTTAATTCTGATTGCATATCACAGCATGCTTTATAAATAGAAAAATTATGACTAAGTAATTTCTATTTGTGTATTTATTAAAAAGAAATAGATGTTGCAAATTCTGTTTTATTATTCAGGTTTTATTATTCTTTTACAGAATATTTTCAACAATCATCTTCTCTAATTTTAATATCATTCAAACAGTATTTCTAATAATTTAAATGGACAATTCATTAAAAATTTAAGTGATTAAGTTATCTGATAACTCAAAACTGAACTTTTTTTTGACAAAGACTGAATGACAAATTTTATTTCATTTTCCAGCACTTTGTAAGTTATTAAATTTATACGCGACGCTTCTGAATCGTCGATTTCAGTCAGCAATTTCTCCGTTGTTGATTTCTCTCAACATGTTTTATTTACGTAGTGAAATTGGAAATTGATACAAAACGTGACCGTCGGAAACGATTGCAGATATGATCAAACAATGACAACCGAGACAAAATTTGGACAGTTTTTTGCAATATCGTCACTTCAAAATATGACTATAGCTCAGTTTTTTCGATAACCAACAATTTATTAATCATAATAAAAGCCCACATTTTTCACTTTAATTTTTCATTTTCACCATTTAATTACTATAAAATTTTTAATTGCACTATCAAACACAAGTGATACGATTACACGTGCGTCGAAATAAATTTTAGTAGTGTTTAATTATTCTCCTTCTACGGATTCAAAAACAATACAGAATTACAGTGACTCGCGGCTTAATGCCGCGTGCAATCACATGCAATCGCATTGCTTCGCATGTATTGCATTTTTTATGAGGTCGCCAACAATGTCGCGATAATCTATCTATCTATTAGCGTGATTTCGATCTGATTAGGCAAAGGTATCACGGGCGCAATGTGTTTTGTGCACGTAGTATTTCGGGTCGAGCTTTGTCATGCCGTTGCAACAAGAGCAGACCATCGCTCGTATATTACTCGCAGTGTGCTGAGACTAAACTGTGGGCGAATAGTACCTACTACGCGCATATTCTATTGCTGTAACGAAATTTATACGATTCGATTGTCTGATAGCGGCTCACCGCGGTGCGTGTACCTTTCATTTGCAGAATTACGCAGCTGTCATCCATACGTCTATATAATATACAATTATATAGTTTACAAATGTGTGCGTGCGATACGAAAGATCATTGTTTGCGATCCCGGATATAATGTGATTAGTAATGCAACGTAGGGAGTAAAAGGAGTTTCACACAATATATGCATGACTTCACCCTTCCCCCTCTCGCTCTCGTTCTCTCGCTCGCGCTCTCTCTCTCGCTCTCCCCTCCCTCTCTCCCTCTCTCTCTCTCTCTCTCTCTCTCTGTCTCTCTCTCTCTCTCTCTCTCTCTCTCTCTCTCTCT